ACAAGTCATAATTTAATTTAAGTTTAAATTTTAAAGTTTAATTTTAAATTTTAAATCTCTTAAATCTTAAACCTAACTTTTAAATGGGGTTTAACGTCCTACTGTTCTGCTCCGACGGCTAATGAAGACGAGCATACGCCATAGAGTGTGCTATGGGGGAAACTTTTCCCGGACAGTGGGGCTACGGCCTAATGTTATATCGAATTCCAAATGCCAAGGGTTTTTTTACGTACAAGCCAATGTGTACACGGTTTTCGTCCCATCCGAACGACTAGACAGCTTTTCTTGTCAGGTCCCCCGTCCTGTACCCCTGACAAGGGAAAACCACGCCGGATAATCCCGATGAATTTTCTCGGCCTACACCGGGATCGAACCGGCGACCTCCAGGCTAGCGAACCAGCGTCTTACTAACTCAGCCACCGTGACCCCATGTTACATGTCAAAGACATCGATTTTGTGTAGCTTATTTACCAGATTATGCGGTTTCGATTCCAAGCTTATGTGTGATAAGGGGTAGGGTCACCTGTCCAACCCCGTGGGTTTTCCCTGGGTCCTACGGTTTCCTCCCAGCGAATTATTGAAATAAAATTGAACCGTATGTTAGTCCCGAAATGACCTAGTTTGTGTCGAGTGGTTGTTAAACACCATTTCTCGAATATTCTCGAATGTTTTGAAGTTTAACACTATTTTCTGACTATTATGGAGTAATCCGAAATTGTGTATAAAATAATAATTTGCTAATGCGGAATGGGATCTGTAAAAAAACAACAACGCCATTACTATTTGCTCCGGTTGAGGACACAATCTGGTTAAAACACAGACCCTAATTCGTTTCGTTTTTATAGTTCAAAATTTCGTTTTACTTGGCTTTACTACACTAGGACCTGGAAGAGTTGTTATTATAACCCGCGTTGAAGTGAGAGATTAGCCAATGAAACGGTCTGTTAAAGCGAGTTCTTGGTGTGCGATGCAGGGAACTGTAGGTAAACCACTAGAAACGTCAACGCTGATTGATTAATCCATGTCTGGCGTAATAGGGCCTAAAGATCTTCATATAGTGTAGGTCATCGAAAGCATAAAAAAAGAAACGAAACATAGATCTGTATTTTAATCAGATTACCACTCATAATGCTGTATTTTAATCAGAATGGACATTCCCATAGTCACAACGCATATCAATTTATGTCATTTCAGATGGAGGAGGAGGTTCATGAAGTTGATTATTGCGAACTACCAGCCATTGTATGGGTGAATATCATGAAACATTTATCGCTAGGAGACCGATATAACCTCTCCTTGACCTGTCATTGTCTCCATGGTTACTTCAACCACCCGTCACTATGGAGCGTTGCTAACATAAAACTGATTGAATGCAGCACGAATTTCTATACCTCGGATGTCAATACTGCGATGCCAAGCAAAACAGTAAAGTTAATTCAAACATTCGGAAAATTCTTCCAAATTCTACATTTGCAATTACGCGGCCATTTGGGACACTTGGAAAAGACTACAAAAGAGCTGCTTCAATCTATCACAGACAATTGCCGACTTCAAGTGCTGACCTTGGAGGTTTGGCTGATGACCTCTAATTATCATCTCCATGGTAACGCGCCTGGATACGAGGAGATCGAGTGTATGTTGAAGTTAATAGAGGAGGCCTACAGATTAAAAGAGCTAAATATCATTTCGTGGCCGATGTTTCCCGCACTGGAGAATTACAGGCGCGGCAATATATTCCAGGTGCTGCTTCAAAACAACAAGATAAAAAACTTGGAATCTCTCAACTTATTTTGTCCGACGGACTGTAGTTGGTCGGACCAAGAACTTATTTTACCTTCTCGAGAATTTACAAAACAAATCATATCACACTTCAGGAATTTAAAACAACTTTCTTTAAGATCTCCTATGATGAGCGAACAACTCCTAACAGAGTTGATGTCACCGGGAAGAACCAAGTTACAGGTTTTACAAATCTTTATAAATTACTCACTGCACGAGAAACAGTACGAAATGCCGCTAATCTCGAATGAAATGTGGAAACGATTTAAAAATGCCAATCCGGGTTTAGTTGTCGAATGTCGTGTCATGTCGCGAATCGGTTGTGACGCTCTTTTAGAACAATTCCTAAAACCTGAAATTCCTTTAAAATCGCTGACGATATTCAAATATGGTAAATGCAGCAAAACACTATTGGGGTATATCAGCGAGAATTACAGTAAAACGTTCGAGGGTTTAATTTGTTTATGTGATGTGGTGAATAATGACACGGCAGTGTTACACTTAGTGAAATCATGTTCTAAGTTAAACCAACTCGTTATGCATGCAGGAATTCGTCTGGTAACCATCCTCTCTATCAGTCAGATGCCCAGGGTGTGGGTAAAGTTTAGTTTTGACGATAAAAATATAAAATGTCTGGCCGATGTTAATCCTAAAGATGAATGGAAAAAAATTAGAGAGGTCTGGGGTTTAACGCCCACAAACTAGGTCATTTTGGTACTAACATATAAGGTTCAATTTTATTTCATAATTCGCTCGCTTGAAGAACCCCGGAGAAACCCATCGAGGTAGAATAGGCGACCCTACTCTTTGTCATGCACAAGGGAATCGAAATCACGCCACTTGACTAACTCAGCCCCCTCCCCCAATTCCAACATAGAATACCAATCCATTTTTGGACCAGGAATTTCGGACCAAGCCTACCAGTGTTGATGTTTTTCTTCGAATAAAGCCTAAGGCTTTGCCAATTCATGAAACTGGACATGATTGTTCCTTGGAGTTTCTGGACTTCGATTTTTGATATGACGTCCCAATTTCAAGCTGTCGACGATGACGTCATGACTTGGTTCCTGGTCAATAAGCTGTACTTGTTTATAAACATACCTTTTGTACAATTTGTTTAATAAATTTTTTAATTTTTTTTATGTTCTGAATGTGGGTTTCCATGCCTGTAGCTATGATGAGAGATACTAGGGTAGCAACCTGGACTGGTTTCCAGTGTATAGACATTGGTGTGCAGAAGTTTGGTGATGCCCGGGGCGTTAGTTACTTTTGTACCGATCAGACATCGTTACTAAAGTAACTACCGGGGCGTATACTCAGAAGTTGCGTGACGCAGGGTGCCTAGCTAGCACTCAGAAGTTTGGGAAAGGAAGATACTTTGATTATGCCAAGGAAGCCACGGTGGCTAAGTTAGTAAGACGCTGGAAGTCGCGGGTTCGCTCTCGGTGTTAGCCGAGAAAGGTAATCGGGATTTTCCGGCGTGGTTTCCCCTTGTCAGTGGTGAAGGATGGAGGGCCTGACAAGGACAGCTATCTAGTCGTTCGGATGGCACGAAAAAGTTCCCTTAGCATTTGGAATTCGATATGAGTAGGCTTTAGCGCCGCTGTCCGGACAAAATTTCCCTCATAGCACACTGTTCACTAGCCCAGTCGATACAAGAACAGTAGGACGTTAAACCCCATTTCATTTCATTGATTATGTCAATACAGAAGAATTAATCTTTTATTCATATTAAGTAGGACAGCTTGTACAACAAAAGTAAGGGAGCCACGGTGGCTAGGTGGTTAAGACGCTGGCTCGCTAGCCTGGAGGTCGGGTGTTCGATCCCTGCATTGGCCGAGAAAGTTCATCCAGATTTTCCGACGTGGTTTCCCCTTGTCAGTGGTGCAGAACGGAGGGCCTGACAAGGACAGCTATCTAGTCCTTCGGATGAGACGAAAAACCGAGGTCCTGTGTATACATTGGAATGCACGTAAAAGATCCCTTGGCAGTTGGAATTCGATAGGCGATAGTGCCGCTGCCCGGGCAAAATTTCCCTCATAGCAGACTGTATGGCGTATGCATGGCCGTCTTCATTAGCCCAGTATAGGAGCAGAACGGTAGGACGTTAAACCCCATTTCATTTCATTTACAACAAAAGTAAACTGTGATTATTTTGATTGTATGGCCCCACTCCAATCAACTAATGAACCGTTTACAGTCCACTGCCGCAAACGTGAATACAGCAACTTCAATGTAGTCCAGTTTTGCCTAACTTAGGTGGCTGACCTGAATCTCCAACAATCAACCAATCGTCGCGGGGTATGGAGGCCTCGCACTCCCCAAGAAAATGTTGAAAATTAAACTAGATGCCCGAAAGTGTCGCACAAAGCAGATTGGCTACATACAAATAGCACGACACAAATTTTGTGGAATACAAGTTACTTAAAAGATGTTTCTGGCGATGTATTCTTTACTTGATAAAGACGAGAGACCCCTCATCGAAACGTCGCCAGAAATAAATCTGTTATAACTGTGTCAGGTTTTAGTCTCATACAGTTAACATCTGCATACGGATTAAACAATTTACAGAAAAAATGTTTTAATTCGTAGTCAATTCAGAACAAATTTGCGGTATTCAATTAAAAAATGAGTAAAATTAGTCTTTTATTAGATTTCGAGCACTTGATTTTGCCAACTATAGATGATATAATTTGTTTTGTTTTTTAAATTACCCGTCTGCCCGAAAAGTCAAAAAGCCCGAAGGTCTTTGGGGCAGCTGCCCCCGCCACCCCCTGGTCCGTAAGCCTATGAAACTATCCATCCGAACATTGTTATCACATGAATTGACTGAAGGTGAATCCATTAATAATATAGCTTGTATTGGTCGTTAGTTGCTATCCATTTACCATAAACATTGAAGCCTAAATAAATTTCGCTATACTCCTTTCCAACTTTTTTCCGCCGTTTAATCGCAGGGTCTACCACCGATCAGCAACTAATATTCGCTAGGAATGAGTCCATCTGGGTGTTATAATGGTGTCCTACTTTCGTTTGATATTAGATTGAAATGTGGACTTTAACCTGACATCTCGAATTACTTCCCTTGAAACGTGGCTCGCATAATCCGGGCGTACACAGTCGGCCAACCTCGGCAGATTCCGGTACCCTACACCTGTAGCCACCGATGTTGGCCGAATGCGGGCGTACCTGGAAAATCAAGACAAAATTCGACAGGAAGTCCCCAGTGAAAATATTATGTTACCGCCGGTATTATTATTGTTTTTGTTATTGAAGACTTTTGTTGAAAAATAAAAACAACATTATATGCTTTATTTTGAAGACTGAGTGAGTATTCTTAATCATACCGCATCTGATGTAGGCAAACTGCACTCATGGCAAAGAATGAATTTATTGCAGATTGTCAAACGTCAAACGAATGAAACGATTATTATTAAAATTATCATCACATGACATCAGTGGGATGTCGGCTGTTTCGTAACCTGGCTGTTTCGTACTTAGTTCATTCGTACCTCAAATTGATTCGTACCTTTACCTATGTTGTTGAAATCAGTTAAAAGAAATTGAAATAAAGGAGAAACGATTTAATGAATCCAAGGCAACGGCTACCCTAAATTTATAAGAGTGGCTGCCGATCCATACAGTTACGTTAGGAGATTAGTTTGTTTTCCTAAATTTAAATGTATCTGAAAGAAATTGAAATAAAGGTGAAACATATTTAAACGATTTGATCAAATTCAACGGCTGCACTAAATTTATAAAAATGGCTGCCGAACGAGCATTAGCTACGATGATTTATTAACAAAAAGCGAATTTTATGCATTGATAATTACATGAATATGAAACATTTAAACCATATATACCACAACCTGTTAAAATATCGAAAAGAACAATTCTTTTTTTATAAAAATGGCTGCCGAACGAGAAATAGCTACAATGATTTAATAACAAAAAGCAAACTGTATGCATTGAAAAAAAAAAATAGAAATCAACTGATTTCAACAACATACATGTAGGAAAATGTACGAATCAATTTGAGGTACGAAGTGAGGTACGAATGAACTAAGTACGAAACAGCCAGGTTACAAAACAGCCTGCACCCCATCAGTGATATATGTGAAAACCGAACATCTTAAAGCGTCACACCCATTAATATTTATTCAGATTTTATGAATACCGGTACATCATAAAAACTGTGCACCGAAAATATAACACATTATGCCGTCTGCTAGTGCTTGCCATTACTATTATTAGAAGCTGTGGAGTCGGAGTGGAGTGGAGTGGAGTGTGGGGTAACCGGAGTGTGGTGGCGCCGTTATAGTAAGTCAAGTGTACGCACTACACATAAACAAAATTGATAAGACAAACCTGCGTTCCACTCCAGAAACATACTAGAAATATCAAATCAAATGAACTGAATCTGGAGGTCCCACAAGGTTTGATCCCGACGTTGGACGAAAAAGTTCTGGCATTCATGTTTGATGTGACTCCCATTTTTGTGTTATAGGTTTTAATCTTAAATACCTGACCCTAACCCTAACCCTAATAGAAAGTAGGAAGTTCCATGTTGACACAGGACGGACGGCTAATACCGCTAGTTTTTCGGTGTAAAAGTGATGGAAATAGAAAAAAGGAGTCGGATCAAACATGAATGCCAAAGTTCCCCAGGATTCTCCAGTGCGGTTTAATCCCCTTCTAGTGGTGCAAGATGGAGGGCCTAGCACATAAGGGTGTCTAGTCTTTTGGATATTACAAAAAAAAGATCCCATATTGGCAGTCACGTAAAAGAACCTTTGACAGTTGAAACTTGCCAGGGGGCAGCAGTGTCAGCATAGCGATTCAAAATGATTTCAAGGAATGGGAGAGAGGGAGAGGGAGAGAAGGTTTAATGTCCAATCAACACAAACCAGGTCATTTCTGGACTAACATATGGTTCAATTTTATTTCAATAATTCGCTTGTACATAGGGGTCTTTAGCAGTGGGAAGAAACTGGAGAAAACCCACCAGGTTGGTCAGGTGACCCTACTCCTTGTCACTCACAACCGGGTAATCAAAACCACTTCAAGGAATGGAGGAAGATATTGAAACTAAGGAAATTATTGGGGGTAGGGAGGTGGGGGAACAATGTATGATTTGTAGTAAAATTGAAACAGACAAATATTCTTTTTGTTTTAATTCAATTCAATTTATTTTTCAGTGACAGAAATAGGACAGCTGATGCCGACCTATATCTGTAATAACTGATGTCAACCTGTGTCTATAATGACTGATGTCAACCTATGTATGTAATGACTGATGTCAACCTGTGTCTATAATGACTGATGTCAACCTGTGTATGTAATGACTGATGTCAACCTGTGTCTATAATGACTGATGTCAACCTGTGTCTGTAATGACTGATGTCAACCTGTGTCTGTAATGACTGATGTCAACCTGTGTATGTAATGACTGATGTCAACCTGTGTCTATAATGACTGATGTCAACCTGTGTCTGTAATGACTGATGTCAACTTGTGTCTGTAATGACTGATGTCAACCTGTGTCTGAAATGACTGATGTCAACCTGTGTCTGTAATGACTAACGACTGCACTAATTGTCTGAACTACATGTACAGTGTTAAAACACACACATTCATAATTCTACGGAATACAATTACAGCTTATTACTGTGCATATTTCCAGTTCACTTGCTAAATGCCACGATAACAATTTATTAAGCATCATGGATTCTGATAATATGATGGATCAGGATAAAAATCCAGGAATTTCTGAATTTCCATCAGAAAACAATCCAATGGTTAGGTCTATTCCATCGACTTCAGTGTCTTCAAACTATGCTATTCCTAATATTCCCAACAATCTCACAATGGCGACTCACCCTCCAGGTGGATGTTTTTCATCTTCAGATCATCGTCAGTCGTGGAACTCGAATCAAACATCTGTCGACAATCGTCAGTCATTGAACTCGAATCAAACATCTGTTGACAATCGTCAGTCATTGATCTTGAACCAAACATCTGATCACCGTCGAGATTCTATTACTGACAATCAGAACGTCCAGGTTACAGGAAGTGCCGCAACTTTACAGTTGAATAAAGATACCCACACGATCATTTCAAAAGCAGAAACAGTTATTTTAACTGAGAATCCTACTGGAGGGCCCATGCTTCCATTTTCACCAACTGCTGACAATCTGTCTGAAAATCTGGGTATTGCTAGACAAACATTCAACAAACAACAGCATACAGGCAGATCTGTCACCATGGAAACACAAAATCAGCATGATGATGTGTCCAAACTTCCTATTACAAGAAGCCAAGCACCATCGGCGTTGGTTACGAGTCCAACAACTAAGATTGACACTATGGAAAATCTGAGGACCTGTGCGTTGCCAAAAATAGACACTGTTGACAGTCTGAGTACCTGTGTGTTACCAAAAATAACCAGTGTGGAAAATCCGAATGGCCCTGTGTTTCCAAATATAGACAATATGGAAAATCTGAGTGACCCAGCGTTACCAGAAATAGACACAGAAGTAAATCTGAGTGTCCCGCTGTTACCAAATATAGAAACTGTGGAAAATTTAAGTGTCCCTCTGTTGCCAAATATAGAAACTATGGAGAATCTAAGCGTCCCTCTGTTACCAAATATAGACAATAGTGAGACGTTAATAACGGATGTACGATTAAAACATATAATAAACGTCTGTGATAAACTAATGACTCATCATACAAAATCTGTTCAGGATATTATAACCATGTGCTCCAAAATATCGGGTTATGAAATTTATTGTAATCGAATTGTCAACTTTTGTAATCAAATTTACACGGAGACGTTGAATGGCAGTCACTCGATTATGAATCTTTGTAAAGCATTTACACGATTAGATGTAACGTGTACTGGGATTGGTGGAGATTCGATGACCAATCAGAGAGGGTTTAAGAACGACATGGATTTGAATGCAGACATGACAAATAGAAATGTTGAACAAACAGTTCAAGAAGCCACTACATCAGATAGTGAAATGATTCATGTCAAATCGTTGGTCAGCTCGGAATCAGAAAGCATTGGAACTGGAAACACAACGCTACTTCGACTTTTAAACGACAAGCTGGGAATTACAAAACCAACCAAGAACCAAAGACGGAAAAAATCAACACCAACTAAAATACCTTGTGAAAGACCCTCACGAAAAAAAGCAACGAATGACCCTGATTATGTTCTTAGTGATGACCATAATAAACAGAGTCCATCAAAGGGGAGTAATTCTAGAATAACGAGAAAAGGGCATAATGGAAATTCAAGTGACGATAATATAGATTTAGCTTGGGAGGGGGATGAGGGTGATGGGGTGGAGGGGGATGAGGGTGACAGGGTGCAGGGGGATGAGGGTGACAGGGTGCAGGGGGATGAAGGCGATTCAGAGGAGAAGATGGAAGAAGAGGATAAAGACGATCTAGACTGGCAAGAAGAATGGGAGGATAACTCAGATGTAGATTGGGAAATACCCCTCAAAACAGCCAAAATCTCGAAGGAGAAAAAATCAAAAACCAAGAATTCGATAAAATCAAAATCAAGACATTGCGATCCTGAAGGAGTTTTTAAATGTTCTGAATGTCCGAAAATTTGTAAAACTGAAAATATGCTAAAGAGACATGAACGGGCCCATGGTCAACGTAAGGCTATTAAGTGCGATTATTGTGATATGACGTTCCCGTATTTCAGCGCGATGGCCGGACATCTTAGAACGCACACGGGAGAAAAACCATTCGTCTGCGAAATATGCGGTAGCGCCTACGCTCAGACGTCAACCTTAAAAAGTCATCAGCTCCTCCATCTTGGATATAAACCTGAGTCATGTGATCTGTGCGATTACACGTGTCGAAGTAAGAAAGAATTAAAAAGACATTTTCTCGTTCATTCGGGAGAAAAAAAGTTTCAGTGTGATGAGTGCGGGAAACAGTTCGCTCGTGAACGTTCGATGAGATATCATAAATTCTCTCATAGTAAAATTAGACCCTTTAAATGTCGGTATTGTGAAAAGAAATTTGCGCGACCCCAAGGTTTAGACAGACACGAGAGAATTCATAAAGGTGACATGCCGTATACTTGTGAGATTTGTGGAAAACAATCGCGGCAAAAATATAATATCACCGTTCACATGAGAACACATAATGGCGAAAAACCCTTCTCCTGTGAAAAATGCGGAAAGAATTTTGCGTACAACGTGACGTTACAGCAACATAAGAAATCGTGTGGTTTAAAAAGTCCAAGACTAGAAATAGACACAGGCTTGTTTTCTAATATTTGAGGGAGCCAGTGAGTATGACATTGGTTCGCTAAATCTGGAGATACTGTGTTCGATCACAGTGATTTAAGAGAGAGTTCATCAGGATTTTCCAGCGTGGTTCCCCCTTGTCAGTGGTGCAGGACGGCGGGGCTTGCAACGGACAAAGTATAGTCAGTCGGATGGGTAAAAAAACTGAGATCCTTTGCACGCTAATGTGTACATGGGATCTCAGTTATTTGACCCATCCAACTGACTATACATTGTATGCATTAAATCATACGGTCCGTCGTGGAATCAAGTGGCGAGCAGGATTTCAAGTAGAGTCGCCTGCCTAACTGCGTAGGTTTTCTCTAGACTCTGGGTCCTCTGGAGAGAATTATCCTGACATATATTTAAATTATTTACATGTATAACCTTCTACATGTAGTATTTTACATATAATGCATATTAAAAGTGTAATTAAATTACCAGTATTAATCTTCTAGTATTTTACGTATAATACTAAACATGGTTTAAATTATTTATCCTATAGTATTTTACGTATAATACTAAACATGGTTTAAATTATTTATCCTATAGTATTTTACGTACATGTATAATACTAAACATGGTTTAAATTATTTATCTTCTAGTATTTTACGTATGATACTAAACATGGCTTAAGTTATTTATCTTCTAGTATTTTATGTATAATACTAAACATGGTTTAAATTATTTATCATATAGTATTTTACGTATAATACTAAACATGGTTTAAATTATTTATCTTATAGTATTTTACGTATGATACTAAACATGGTTTAAATTATTTATCATATAGTATTTTACGTATAATACTAAACATGGTTTAAATTATTTATCTTCTAGTATTTTACCTATGATACTAAACATGGTTAGGGGTGATGATTTTCCGTTTCAGAAAATAGCAAATTCCGTTTTAAGTATTTTTAATTCCGTTATTTTCCGTTTCAGAGCTGACCATATTCCGTTTTTTCGAGATAAAATGTTATTTTATGAATAAATGAATAAAACATCTTAAAATGCCTTTTATTACAAAACGGATCATTTTAAACCAATGATAACAAATGTTGAATTGTGAATGACTTGTAATGTTCAATGACTAGTTATTCTTTAAACCTGTTTCCCGAATTAAATAACAGAAAATTACATCTTGTGAGCTCGTTTCATCTTTTTAGCAGACGAAGTCATGTTTCTCAGCTGCTAGGTGTAGTCGCGATTTATCCAGACATCTTCGTAGTTACTACCGTTTCTTCGAGAATAAGGGCTGGATTCACAAGGCTACGGTATATTTCTGATGTCACGTGGTTAATGCGGATAAACACGAGTCACGAGCCCGGCAGTAAAATAAGAAGTAAATGAAACGATTTTTACTTTTATGAAGTGACAGAAGTTTTTTTAAAGACATATATATACATTACAATGTTTAATTCAAGTTAAACTACAGAGTAATTTTATAATGGGATACATGAAAGACGGGTTTTCGTTTCGATTAAAATTATGATTCCTAAATGATGAAATGAAAGTAGCGAAATACTAAAATAGACAGTAACAAAACCACGCGATATCATTCAATATTTCCGATTTTTATGAATAAAAAGATAAAATACTTGGATAACTGCAAAATTATTTTGAGTTTGTGTTTAGTATCAGCAAATATCGGCTTTTCCGTCTTTTTCCGTGTGAGATTTCAAATTCCGTTTTGAGTGGACAATTCCGCGATTTCCGCGTTTTTTCCGCGATCACGGAAAATCATCACCCCTACATGGTTTAAATTATTTATCTTATAGAATTTTACCTATGATACTAAATGTGTATTACATATATTATGCAAGAGCTAAATCTGCCTATTGCAAGTCTTTATTTAGGCTTCAGATGTTGTAGAAATTATTAATTAGTTAAATTAGACCTTTTTTTTTACATGACAAGCTCAAAATCAACCCTGTAGACCCTCGGATGGCTTGGATACAGCTTGGATTTAAACAGTCGTCCATTTAAAATTAAATCAAGAAATGGCTGTCCAAACTAATGTTTATGGTTAGTCACTGACGTCAATACCGGAAAGCGGTGATGAAAGGCCTACCAAGCGAGGGTACCATAGCCATTGAGAATGTTACTTGATAATCAAGAATATGTGGGTGGAGTTATCGTCTGTCAATCAAACGATCGGCAACTTTCGTAGATGGTGCGGACACAGTTGATGCCTATTTCTAGTGCAAACTTCCAACAGTGACAACTCCATTCAGAATAAAGTAATTTGACTGAAATTTTCAATATTTTCTTTTTTATCTTCTATTTTTGAATTATTATAGTAAGAAGAAAGGCCAACTCTTTATTAAACTAACATGCAATATCATTATTTATCTTGTGTATTTTTGTATACCAGTGGGGATCACGTGGTGGGTAAGACGCTGGCTCGCTAGCCTGGAGGTCGGGGTGTTCGATCCCTGCATTGGCCGAGAAAGTTCATCCAGATTTTCCGGCGTGGTTCCCCCTTGTCAGTGATGCAGGATGGAGGGCCTGACAAGGACAGCTGTCTAGTCCTTTGGATGAGACGAAAAACCGAGGTACCGTGTATATATTGGAATGCACGTAAAAAATCCCCTGGCAGTAGTAATTCGATATAAGGGTAGGCGATAGTGCCGCTGCCCGGGCAAAATTTCCCTCATAGCACACTGTATTGCGTATGCCCGTCTTCATTAGCCCAGGTTAGGAGCAGAACAGTAGGACGTTAAACCCCATTTCATACCATTTGTAAATGGTGCAACCTGATTAAAATACAGATCTATGTTTCATTTTGTTTTTTTATACTTTCGACGGCTGGTTGTAGTGGAATGTCACGTCAGAGGTCATACGAGCGGCTTTTGAACCTATGACGTCAGACATTTGATTAACCACAGGCCAAAAAATTGCTGCAACAGACTGTTTCATTGGCTAATCCCTTACAGCAACCAAAACTCGGGTTATATAACAACTCTTCCAGACACTAGTGTAGTAAAGACAAGTAAACCGAAATTTTGAACTATAAAAACGAATCGAAATAGGATCTGTGTTTGAATCAGATTGTAAATGGTGTATTTGTAAACTGTACTAGTCTTATATCTTTACGTGTAGCACCTACTAATGATATTAATGAATGAATGAATGAAATGGGGTTTAACGTACTACTGTTCTACTCTTAACCTGGGCTAATGAAGATGGGCATACTCCATACAGGGTGCTATGAGGGAAATTTTGCCCGGGCAGCGGCGCTACTGCCTACGCTTATATCGAATTCCAACTGCCAAGGAATCTTGTACACGGGACCTCGGAAAGTCTGAATGAACTTTCTCTGCCAATGCATGGATCGAACACCCAACCTCCAGGCTAGCGAGCCAGCGTCTTACCCACTTAGCCACGTGATCCACTAATGATATTAAATATATTTTAACTTGACGTTAAAACTTGTTAATGATTAGTGTGTGTGAGTTAGTTTTATTTTACGTCCGCTTCCAAAGAGGTGATATCTCAGACAAATTAATGATTAGTTAAGACTCAGTTTTTATACCTGATGAGGTCAATTTAGGTTCTGTTCCCTGGCAACCTTTTATATACATTTACATTTAATACCAGGGCCCTGTTTCACGGAATTTTAACTTAAGATAAAATCCAATTTTAGTAGATACTTCAATTTTGATTGGCTAAGCACTATAATCAATCTAATATTACCCAATCAAATTACTAAAATTTGGATTTTATCTTAGTTAAAATTTCGTGAAACAGGCCCCAGGTTTTAAGATGGTATGTTAGAAGTAATACATTGATGGAAGGTAATTATTTTGTAATGTATTTATTGAAGGTGTCCATTTAAGGACAGGATTTTAGCTTGCCAGGTTTTTAGTTTGGTGGGGGGTTGGATAGCTGAATGGTTGGCGTGCGCGCGCTGTATCATAAAGTCTGTCATTGAGTCGACTGACGTGGTTTCGAATCCCCAGTTGTACATGGCAAGGAGTAGGGTCGCCTGTCCAACCTCGTGGGTTTTCTCCAGGTCCTCCAGTTTCCTCCCACTGCTAAAGACCCCTACGCGCAAGCAAATTATTGAAATAAAATTAAATCATATGTTAGTCCCGAAATGTCCTAGTTTTTGTCGAGTGGACGTTAAACCCCATTTCTCTCTCTCTCTCTCTTTAGCTTGGTATGTTGAAGTAGATTGTTATATTTTATGGAAGGTGTCTATTGGCAATAAGCTTTATCAGCTCATAAACTATTGGGGAGCCATAGTGACTCAGTGAGTAAAACATTGCCTCGCTAACGTGGAGGTCCGGTGTTGGTCAAGAAAGTTTATCAGTATTTTCCCCTATGGTTCCCTCTTGTCAGTGATGCAGGACGGGGAGCCTGGCAAGGGACAGTGTATAGTGGTACGGAAAACTGAGGTCCTATGTACACATTGGCGTGATTGTATGTGACAAGGAGTAGGGTTTTCTCGTGGGTTTTCTCTGGTCCTCCCACTGCTAAAGACCCCTACGCGCAAGCAAATAATTGAAATAAAATTAAACAATTGTTAGTCCCGAAATGACCTAGTTTGTATCGAATGGACGTTAAACCCCATTTCTCTCTCTCTTTGGTTGTGGTTGATTCTCTTGTTAAACAAACCTTCGTTTGGGAATAATTTTTAAGTGTTGAATATGATATACAAGATGTTCAAATTAAAGATATGTGCCTAGGCTTATATAATATTAACTTATTTAAACATATGTGTGTAGGGCTGTAGGCCTATGTAATATTTACTTACCGGTATATAAAGATATGTGTGTAGGCCTATATATTTATTTATATAAAGACGTGTGTACGCATGTAGGCCTATGGAAAACTTATAATAAAATATGTACACTGTGTTATTCTCCATAGATATTAATTCATTGTATTAAATTTAGCCAATTTCTATTGTCTTCAGGCACCCATTTTTTAAAGTATGTTCTTTGGATCATAAGGTCTGTCATCCATGCAAGGGTGGTGGTTTTGATCTCTGGCTGACGTTTTGTACGTGACCAGGAATAGGATTGTCTGCCGGACCTCCCTAGATTTTCACAGCGCTTCTTCCCACTGCTTGCAAATTATTGAAATAAAGGCATGCTAAATGTTAGTTCAGTGAGGAGTATTATTGATTGGTGTAAAAATTTGTTACCACCTATAGTCTGTGGATTGTTGTCCCAGACCCACCCTAGCTACCATTTAATTTTCGTACGTTAGTTACGAACAGGATCGAGTAATGTACATTGCCGCCCTTTCTTGATTTTGTAGAATTCATTGAAAAAACTTCTATATCAAAAATGAAATGGGGTTTAACATTCTCTACTCCAACTGGGCTAATGAAGAAAGGCATACCCCATGTCGTGTGCTATGAGGGAAATGTTTCCTGGGCAGCAGTGCTAAGGCCTACTCTTATTTTCAAATTCAGGTGTTCTTTTACGTCGTTGCCAATGTGCACATGGGAATTCAGCTTTTCATCCCATCCAAACGACTAGACACCGTCCTTGTTAGGACCTCAATCCTGCACCAGTTACAAGGGGAAGGCTTGCTGTTAGTGAGCCAGCACCCTACACATTAAGCCAATGCATCTCCAACAGAGATCGAACCCCTACTTCCTCCTGGCTAGCCTGGAGGTCGGGTGTTCGATCCCTGCATTGGCCGAGAAAATTCATCCAGATTTTCCGGCGTGGTTCTCCCTTGTCAGTGATGCAGGACGGAGGGGCTGACAAGGAAAGCTGTCGAGGTCCCGTGTACACATTGGCGTGCACGTAAAAGATCCCTTGGCAGTTGGAATTCGATATAAGAGTAGGCCGTAGTGCCGCTGTCCGGGCAAAATTTCCCTCATAGCACACTGTATGGCGTATGCCCGTCTTCATTAGCCCAGGTTAGGAGCAGAACAGTAGGACGTTAAACCCCATTTCATTTCATTTCCTCCTGGTTAGTGAGTCAGGGCCTTCCCCCCCCCCCCCCCAGGATTTTATCAACCCAGATTTCAGAAATTAAAATTAAAACAGAAAGAACCAATATAAATTACAGGATAATTTATTTTCTTTATGATCATTTACATGTTAAATGAAAGGGGGTTTAACGTCCTACTTTTCTGAACGGACTAATGAAGACGGGATTACATCATTCATCAGTGAAATTTCCACTGGACAGGGGGGGTTGGATGGCTGAATGGTTAGTGTGTGCGCGCTGTATCATAAAGTCTGTCATTGAGTCGACTGGCGTGGTTTCGAATCCCCGGTTGTACGTGACAAGGACTAGGGTCGCCTATCCAATCTCGTGGGTTTTCTCCGGGTCCCCCGGTTTCCTCCCACTGCTAAAGACCCCTATGCGCAAGCGAATTATAGAAATAAAATCAAACCATATGTTAGTCCCAAAATGACCTAGTTTGTGTCGAGTGGACGTTAAACCCCATTTCTCTCTCTCTCCCCCTGGACAGCGCCGCTACAGCCTACTATTTAGGGTTCTTTTACAGGCACAATTATATGTAAACGGAACCTCGGTTTTTCAAGCGAAGTGAAGGAGATACTGTTCTGACCAGGCTATACATTGTCCATTGTCAAGCCCTCCATCTACACCACCGACAAGGGGGAACCAGGATGAACTATATCGGCCAGTAAGGCACTGGCTTGCTAACCAGGAGGGATCACGGTGGCTAAGTGGGTAAAACGCTGGCTCGCTAGCCTGGAGGTTGGGTGATCGATCTGTGCATTGGCTGTCGAAGGACAGCTGTCTAGTCATTCAGATGGTATGAAAAACCGAGGTCCCATGTACACATTGGCGTGCACGAAAAAGATCCCTTGACAGTTGGAATTCGATATAAAAGTAGGCCGTAATGCCAATGTCCAGGGTTCGATCCCGGTGATAGTTAAGAAATTTCTCTGAAGTTTTCCGGTGAGTTAAACCCTTGTCCGTAGAGCAAGATAGAGAGCCTGATACGGACAGCGTCTAGCCACTACATGTGTATATGGCGTACATGTATATCCGTCTTCATTAGCCCAGTCGGTGCAGAAAAGTAGGCCGTTCAACCCAATATCTTTATTCAATAAATTTAAATTATTCAAAAGACAAATACTAGATTTTTATAAATTATAATATCACAAATTTTAACCTGGGAAATTAGTGAATTATTGCCTTAAACTGGCTTAAACTATCAAGTGATTGTTAACCCCGAAAGGTAGGGGAGGGGGTGGGGTGTAATTTTCTATGTTATTGATATTAAATCAAAAATTAATGGCAGCCCCCGAGTCTGATATTGATGTATAACTGTTAAGTATGCAAAACATGTTCTTAGAAGGCTTAGTTTCATGATGATTAGGCATTAATCCATTCAAACTGGCAAAAATCATAATTTACTTTTTAAATTTAATCAAAATGAATGAGTAAAATATCAAAGATGGGCCATTGATCATTGATAGACACTTAAGGCAATCCATACACAGTTGAGGTACTTTTTCTGTAAAGTTTGATGGTACATTCTTTATCTATATACCATTTTCTTACAAACCCAATAATTCAAAAATATAGACTGGGTAGAAGGAATAAACAATTTTCTGAGAATTTGGTCTACTTAACATGGAATGACCCTTACAGAAGTGCCGAAATTTTCAAAAATTGAATCGGGACCTACATGTTTATTTTCCGTTTTTTGTTTTTTTTAATAAAACAATTGTGAAACACCTGAAAAATAAATTTTATGGGAGTGAAGATTGTTGGATGAGACCTACATGTACAATGTACAAGTCTCAGTACAACTGAGGGTGAGTATTATCCTATATCACTTTGTTAAACTTTTCAATAATATTCGTTTTACTACTTACTACAAGTCTGTTCTACTGGCCTACTATTGCAATCTGATTAAAATACAGATCTGTATTTCGTTTAGTTTTTTTTTATACTTTCGATGACCTCTACTACATGAAGATCTGACCAGTTGTACTGGGAGGTCACATCAGGGGCCAAATAAGCGGCTTTTGAGCCTATGACATCAGACATTGATTAATCAATCAGTGTTGACGTTCCTAGGAGTTTACTCGCGGTAACAGATCGTTTCTCACATCGACTAGAACGCCTGTTATATAACAATTCTTCCAGATCCCAGTGTTGTGAAGACAAGTAAAACAAAATTTTGAACTATAAAAAAACGAAACAAAATAGGATCTGTGTTGTAATCAGATTGCTACCATTGTCAACTTCAAACATTTTTTATGGATCTACTGTTTTCAGCTTTGAACATTTTCTAAAAGTTTATGTGAGTTAACATGATCTAAAAAAGACTGGTTATCCATGAATGTTTGCTTACAGTCGACACATTCAAACGAATTGGAGGATATAAAAATCTTTATACTTGGTTTATTGGTAGATTTATCGACGGCTGGTGAAAATGTTGTGGATTGTTGAACGTTACCAAATCCGTTTAATTCCGCACGATCGTTGATGATTTCGTTCTTTCTGATGTGTATTTTTATATGTCGACGTAAACGACTTCTGTTGATGAACATTTTACTGCACACGTCACACTGATATTCCCGCTTAGCTCCGTGCATCTCAATATGTTCCTTTAACGTTTTCGGATCGTAATAACTTTTGTCACATATCGTACATTTATGTGGTTTATTACGATGTGTTTTTAAGTGCATGTCCAATTTATCTTGGTTAGGATAACGTCGTTGGCAGACACCGCATTCAAAATCGTTCTCGGGGTTATGCTGACGTTCTATGTGTCCCTTAAGAACCTGATCTCCACAGCACTTTATGTTACATATAGGGCATCGCACACCGGGACCAACATGCACCAGTTTATGTTTCTCTAACGCCAGTTTATTACGGAAGTATTTATGACAAACCTCGCATTCTACGTTTTCAAAATCTTCATGTGACGCCATATGTAGGTCTAAGGCTCTGGACGTATTAAAAACTTTAAAACACCTCTGACATATAAATGTCGTACAACCGACTGAATGATGAAACTTTTTGTGTTTATTTAATTCTGCCACGGAGCGGAAAACTTCGACACATTCGTCACACTTTAACCAATCAGTGGGCTTCTTGGGTTTTGAATGCGATCTCACATGTTTTTGCATATTTCCATTTTGAACAAATGTTTTTCCACATATTGGGCAGAAGTATGGATGTTCACGCGTGTGTGTTCTCATGTGAACTGTGAGATACGTCTGTTGGTTGAATGTCTTATTACAAACGGAGCATTTGTATATTTTATCAGTTTTCTTCGTTTTCAACTTTCCGATGTTTTTGGTCGCGCGTTCATGAGTCTTCGTGTGATTTTCTAGATCTTTAATTCTCACATAGCCTCGCCCACACGTCTGGCAGGTAAAAGGTTTCTGATCCTTGTGTGTGAACGAATGAACCTTTAAATGACAAGACGCCCGGAAAGATTTACCACAAACATCACATTGATATTTTTTACTCTCCTCGTGAAAACGCAGATGTGTAGACAGGGAATTCTGGGTATCGTAACCTTTATCACAGATTTGACATGTGTATGGTTTCGCATGAAATAAAACATGCAAATCGTATTCTTCACTATCTTGGTATCGTCTAAAACACTTGGGACATTCGTACGGATATTCTTCCGCATGGACGTCAGTTTGATGTTGTCGTAGTTCGTCTTCAGTCGTCACTTCACTTTGACAGATGTTACAACTGAAGTATGTTGGCTTTAAGCCATGCTCCATGATTTTGTGTTGAAAAACTTGCTGTCGACCTTGAAATAAACGCTTACAAATAGAACATTCGTTGGACTTGTTCTGATCGTGTCGTCTTTCGTGATGATTTAAATTTGATTTGTTTGCGAATTCCTTCCCACAAGCTGTGCAAACATGGCGCCCGCTCGACAGTTTCCTTGATCTTCTTGTCGCCTTACCTTTTCTAAAAATAGATTTCATCTCCGGGTCATTACTTTCCAAATGACCTTTAACCTCTACAGTATCCATGGGAACAGCATGGGTCGATTGATCAACAAGAGCAGATATGACATCAGTGGAAGTTATTTCTGCATTTTGTTGAATGTCTGTCTCCATGGTAACTGTGTTTTCCTCATTCGATTCTAGGATAGTTGTTGTGACTTCTTCTTCAACAATTGGCTCATTTGGTGTCTGCTGATCATAGACGTAGCTTATCTCCACGATATTGTCATCCATTTTGTAAACTATGATGTGATGGGCATTGTTTGACCCGTCCGTATCAGGGACGACTTTCAACCCCTCAAAATCATTAATACTAATGACATCATTCAACTCCACCTGCTGTGATTGGATGTTTTCAACACAGCTATTATCTATTGTTAAATCTGATTGGATGTATTCAATATGGTTATCGACTGATTGGATATCTTCAACCTGATTATTTTCTACTGTTAAATCTGATTGGATGTCTTCAACCTGATTATTTTCTATTGTTAAATCTGATTGGATGTCTTCAATCTGATTATTTTCTATTGTTAAATCTGATTGGATGTCCTCACCTTGGTTATTTTCTATTGTTAAATCTGATTGGATGTCCTCACCTTGGTTATTTTCAATTGTTAAATCTGATTGGATGTCTTCATCCTCATTATGTTCTGTAGTTAAATCTGATTCGATGTCTTTATCATGGTTACATGTATCTGCTATTGTTAAATCTGATTGGACGCTTTCTTCCTGATTATTCACTATTGTCAAATCTGGTTGGATGTTTCCACCATGGTCATGTTCTACTGTGATATCTGATTGGACACTTTCATTGCAGATATTTTCTATCGCTAAACCTGACTGGATGCTTTCGCTGTGGTTATTTTCTGTCAGGGAATCAAACTTGAGGTTATTTATTTCTGATTCTGTGGATTCACTACTAGGTAGACTCTCCTGAGTTGAAGGGTCAAACTGTATGATGCTGATGATGTTTTGTTCAAACTGTTCTGATTGGATCATTTCATTTAAGTTATGTATTTGATGATCTGATTGGTTTGTTAGGGAATAAGAAATTGTAGTTTCTCTTTCATCAATGACATCTTCCCTTAAGATAACTTTTGGATTTTGGTTTTCGTTTCCATTCGTCGATTCTGCGTAACTGTAATTATCTTCCGCGTAATCCTCCAAGTTTATTTGTTGAGTGGAATTATTGTCTACTTGTTGGGGGATTTCAACATATTCATGATCTGTGGCTGGTTCTATTTTTATAACGCATGACAAGACGTCCTTTAATTGTTCATCTTCAATCTCCTGATTCCCGTTACTAGTCACGATTTCTTCTGTCACGATTTCTTCCTTTACGACCGTGGATGAGCTATCAGGGAATTGTACCCCTTGTAGGAAGAACGCACAGGTTTTATGATGGCGGTTCAAATTACTACTGGAGTAAAATGTCTTTCGGCAACTTTCACATTTAATCGACGCGTCCTTATCGTGAGTCAACTCGTGCATTCGTAGCCGTGGTTTATCACTGAATATCTTCTGGCATATTTTACAAGCGAGGTCTGGTTTGGGTTTATGGCGCTTCGTCTGATGATAACATAACGATCGTTTAGTATAAAATTCTTCTTGACAAACATCACACGTAAAAACTTCACGATTTTTAATCAATTTTGGATGGATCTTGGGATTATGGATGCGTTTGATGTGAAGACGCATGTTACCAACCTGCGCAAATCCGTGTGAGCAGATGGGACAGAAATATTTTTTCTGTGTAGAATGAGTTCGTAGATGGATCGTTAAATATGTTTGTTGTGCAAACGTTTTTGAACAATGCGGACAGACATAGTTTTTATCTAATGTTTCATTTTTCGGATTTTCGTTGTTTTGGTTTTGCTGGTGTACTTTTCGTTTGACGTGATTACGTAGCTGTAGGATCGTTTTAAATGATACATCACACAGGGCGCAATGATACGGCATGTGGGCTGTATGTTTGGTTTCGATATGGCGGAATAAATACATACGTCGAGCGAAGGCCTGATCACAATGTGAACATTCAAAGGGTTTTTCACCCGAGTGACTTTTCATGTGAACGTTGAGATTATAGCGACTACGATAATATTTGCCACAGACTTTACAGGCTAACGCCGTTTTATTATTTACGTGATCTGTCATGTGACGTGTCAGATCCTCATTGGTCAGAAAGTTCTCGTAACAGATGACACATTGAATGTCTATTTGATGCAACTCACTGGTATGTTCGTGTAATTTATTAATGTCCGTAAAAACTAGGTCACAGATGTCGCACTTGTACTCGTATTTCTGATCTCCGTGTTCAAACATCATGTGTTGTAACATGAGTTGTCTCCCTTGGAACAACTGATGACAGATCTCACATTCGTTGCCCTTTTTCTGTCCATGACGCAACATGTGTTTACGGCAGTTGCTATAATCGCTAAAAACCTTTGAACAAAACAAGCAAATTTTATCCCCGTTTAACATGATTCTAGGACGTTCATCCCCTTTCTTTACAATTGTCTCCATGGCGACTTGTAACGTTTCCTTTCAGAACCTGAAAAGATTGAAATTAATTCAGAAAATGAGTCAATCTTTAGCCTATTTGAATGTTTGAAATGAAATAGTGTTCAACGTTTTGCCCCGACAGTGTCACTACGGACTACTCTTACATCTAATTCCAACTGTCCATTTTTCATCCCATTTGTATGACTATAGACGTTGTCCCTTAAATTGCCAGGCCCTCCATTATGCATCACCGACAAGGTGGAACCACACCTGCAGGGATCGAACACAGGACCTCGAGTTTAGCGAGGCAATGTCCTACTGGCTGAGCCACCTTACCTAACTAACGGGAGTTTCGGCCCAGACAGGCGTGTATTTTAATTGGGTTTTTTTTTTGCATCACAATCACATCAGTTTCATCATCTCCGTAGGGTTAGACTAACGCGTAGAATTACAATCATATTCATTAATAAGAATGCCAAACTTATAGTTAGAGAATTAATAGAATAAGTTGGATGGCCCAGGATGGTTTAGTCAAGGATACAATTTAGCCAAAAGATATGAAATGATGTTTAACGTCTTACTGTTCTGCTCCGAAGTGGGCTAATGAAGATGGGCATACGCCATACAGTATGCTATGAGGGAAAATTTGCCCGGACAGCGACACTATGGTCTATTCTTATATCGAATTCCAACTGTCGAGGGATCTTTTACGTGCACGCCAATGTGTACACAGGACCTCGGTTTTTTGTATCACCCGAAGGACTAGACAGCTGTCCTTGTCAGGCCATCTGTCCTGCATCACTGACACAGGGGGGCCCACGCTGGAAAATCTAGATGAACTTTCTCAGCCAATGCAGAGATCGAACACCCGACCTCCACACTAGCGAGCGAGCGTCTTACCCACTTAGCCACTGTGACCCCCTTAAGCCAAAGAGTGAATAGGGATGAATGAAGTCTTATTTTATCAATGACGTGGACCTGTTACAATCTAGTTTGAAGATTCATATGTACAACACAAGGCATGCGGTCCTCAAGTGGAAATTATTGAGGGCCTTAATAATGTAGACACCGTTTACAGTTTATCCACCATTGATTATTGGTGCACGTCCCAGAATTTACCATGATTGTAAGAATCAAGTTGATCAAACCAACATGAATTTATGTAAAATAATCTTCAATTTGGCCCATTATACTTGACAATTACACCTTGTTTGTATTTACCGTCTTTGATGTCTGCAATAACCAATTTTTGTCGTACAAATTCTAAAATTCTTCTTTCTTATACTGGGGGAGGACGCCATTCATCTAACGCAAGTTAATACCTAAAGGGGGATAACTCTGAATGGAAATTAAAAATAAAATCCTGTCTGGACGAACACGACTTGTATTTTGCCCTCCGCCATATTCTGCAATGGAGATTTACACAGACTACAGCTTGTTTGCGTAAAGAATTAATTCGTGACTGAAATCGCAAATCTGTAATTGATAAAACATCTATTCGCATTTCCATGGAGTCGAATTTCGACAAAGAACAAATCAAGCGATCAGTTACATACGAAACATGAGCGAGTCTTGTGCATTGTAACTTGAAAGGTAACAAATGTTTTGCATGGAGATTTTTAGAACTTTTAGCCGGAAAAAAAACTTTGAGAAAAAAAATCGTAATAATGTTTTATATTTTGGAATTTGAATCTTTTGAAATGGTATGGAATTAAAAAATCGGGTTGTTGAAGGTCATCGACTTTGATAATATTGATAATTTATCTGTTTAAACATGAAAAGGAAACGGTAGTCTCCATTATCTAGACATTCGAGTGGAGAGGGGATCGAGACAAATGCCATCCCTCGAAATGAAATGAAATGGGGTTTAATGTTCTACTGTTCTGCTCCTATACTGGGCTAATGAAGACGGGCATACGCCATGCAGTGTGCTATGAGTGAAATTTTGCCCGGGCAGCGGCACTATCGCCTACTCTTATATTGAATTCCAACTGCCAAGGGATCTTTTACGTGCATTACGGGACCTCGGTTTTTTGTGTCACCCGAAGGACTAGACAGCTGTCCTTGTCAGGCCCTCCGTCCTGCATCACTGACAAGGGGACACCACGCCGGAAAATCTGGATGAACTTTCTCGGCCGACCTCCAGTCTAGCGAGCCATCGTCTTACCCACTTAGCCACGTGATCCCCCATAATATTCGAAATAAAAAACACCAATTACAGTTCAATATTGGTCCATTTCAATCAATATTGATTTTGTTATCTTGCCGTGAAAATATGTCATTCAAATATCCATTATTTAAAGCGGAAATTGCAAATTTTTAAGTTATATTTTTAAAATTTATTAAAATAAAGCCTGAAAATAGATGGTATCCATAAACAGTCCTACCTTGTTAAAGAATAATCCTATTAATCCTATAATTCACTATTGCCAGCTGAGAAATTGGCAAAAATATCATTTTCCTCTTCATTTTCAAACGTTTGGAAAAATCTACTCCATGGTGGAAAATAGTAAACAAGGGAGGTAATTGGGAGGTAATTCTGTTATTATTTCCTGTGTAAATGAGTTTTAAGTGTGAGAATGACACCCATGATCGTATAATTGTGAGTTGACAACCTATTGAGCAAAAGACATAGAAATAATTACGTTTTGACTTTCTTAGAAAATTTGCAATTTCCGCTTTAAGACGTAATGGACATTTTATAATCAGTACACGAGTCGTGTACTCTGTGATTTCGGGTGCTATTTGTGATGAACAAAGAAATACATATACCACAAGACAATGGGGAAGTAATTAGTAATGGTTGATTCACAACGGCAAAATTACTGTTCATGTATTTCACCGAACATACTTGATCAGAAATTATTATTATTATAGATGCCCTTAAACCAATTTCGTCTATTTAAAGGTTCCAAAATAGAGTCATACGCCCTTTAACATGACGATGTTTGTCGAATGCAAGTGATAATCGACCAATCAACACTTCAATCGGATTTCACGTGATATAAATGGTAAGTCTCGGCGCCAACGTTGCAAATCATAACAAATATTAAAATAATCCATGTGTCGCAAATTCAAATTGTGCCGTCGTGAATCACTTTAGCTCAAGCAATAGAAGAAGGTTAGGAACCGTGGTTATGATAAGTTACGTATATCATACGTCACGGATAATGATTATGATTTGTTACTGATCATGTTTATGCAAGACCTATCGTTGTGAACAGACCATGCTTTTGCTTGGCCACGGGTCATGGACCTGATTCGATCGGTTCCATAGCAAGTAAGCCTATATTATGTATGTTACGTTCAGTGTTTTTGATAAGCCTACATCCTACATGTATGTTACTGACCATGATCATGGTAGGAGTACATGAGTACATGTATGCTATGCCTATGGATCATGTTTATTATTTATAGGCCTATATGGAATGTATGTCATACTGGCCACGATCGTATCGTGATATGCACTTGTGTATGTATATGTATGTTACACTAGTAGACTAGCCATAATCATTCTTGACCTACAGGTATTTGTGCATAAGCTAGAAACATCAGGTCATAGGCTACTACAGAAAACATAAATCAAAAGAAATTTCGCGCCGGGGGAGGAAAGAACCACGACTGACCCCCATAGAGTGGTCAACCTCGTAGATTTTCTCCGGGCCCCAGGGTTTCCTCCCATTGCTAAAAGACCCCTACGCGCAAGCCAAGCGAATTATTATTGAAATAAAATTGAACCATATGTTAGTCCCGAAATGACATGGTTTGTGTCGCTTGCACGTTAGACCCCCCCCCCCTCTCTCTCTCCATAGAGTGGGAAGTCTTCGCGGGGCCAGGTTCAGGCGCCTCTGGTATCATTTAGATCCGAGAACGATTTTAAACACGGGTTCTTTTCTGTCTGTTATTCATTTCACGACAAGTTCTTACACATGCCACTAATACTGTTTTCGCCAGCAATGGCCACTCCCACTAGTCAATACATAGGCTGTCATCTTTGCTCCGTAAGGAGAACGACGGGGTTCTCTCCACCCAGGCTCGAAATTGTACTTGGTTTATTGGTAGATTTATCGACGGCTGGTGAAAATGTTGTGGATTGTTGAACGTTACCAAATCCGTTTAATTCCGCACGATCGTTGATGATTTCGTTCTTTCTGATGTGTATTTTTATATGTCGACGTAAACGACTTCTGTTGATGAACATTTTACTGCACACGTCACACTGATATTCCCGCTTAGCTCCGTGCATCTCAATATGTTCCTTTAACGTTTTCGGATCGTAATAACTTTTGTCACATATCGTACATTTATGTGGTTTATTACGATGTGTTTTTAAGTGCATGTCCAATTTATCTTGGTTAGGATAACGTCGTTGGCAGACACCGCATTCAAAATCATTCTCGGGGTTATGCTGACGTTCTATGTGTCCCTTAAGAACCTGATCTCCACAGCACTTTATGTTACATATAGGGCATCGCACACCGGGACCAACATGCACCAGTTTATGTTTCTCTAACGCCAGTTTATTACGGAAGTATTTATGACAAACCTCGCATTCTACGTTTTCAAAATCTTCATGTGACGCCATATGTAGGTCTAAGGCTCTGGACGTATTAAAAACTTTAAAACACCTCTGACATATAAATGTCGTACAACCGACTGAATGATGAAACTTTTTGTGTTTATTTAATTCTGCCACGTAAGGAGAACGACGGGGTTCTCTCCACCCAGGCTCGAAATTTATGCAAGAGCTAAATCTGTCTATTGAAGGTCTTTCTTTAGGCCTGAAATGTAATCTAAATTATTAATTAGACATTAATTAACCTATCGAAACCATAATCAACTCTAGATGGCATCGCTAGTCTGTGACTTTTAGTGGATTATGAGCCGATTTACTGCATTACTTTCCTTCACGATTTAACGATTAAGTGGATAATCGAGACTATGCTGTTTATCGTAGGCCTACTGACTTTAGTAATGATGATCAAAGGCTAGCGGGAAATTTCAACAGCTTAGTTCTAGGTTCATAGTGGGTCCATTTAATGAAATTTTCAGCAAATTTCCTTTACATTATCTAGTTTTTAACTATTATAGTGAGAACAACTCGTTATCGAATCTCCCATAATGTATCTTTAAATGTTGTTTAAATGTGTATTTTCTTGATTATGAACTTGTGGCTTACTATAAGATACCAGGGGCGGACTAGGGGTTCTGATCCCTGCATAGTTAGGGGTTCCCATCCTATGGGTTAGGGTGAGAGGGTTCTCTCCAAATGTTTTTGAAATACCGTACCGGTATGTAAACGGTACGTTTTATTGTATATCATTGTGTTTCGAGCTTATGCACATATTTAATGTGTGGCATTCCTAACAATTCATCAACAACAACGTAAATTCATGACTAACAGGGGAGCCTAAACTACGCAAGAACATTAACTAGTTTAGAGACTCTTGAAACTACTATAACGCTTTTCAGCCCATCCCTGGAATTGGTACCATAAAGGCTGTACACGGATCGCATAACAATTTCTGACCTAATAATATTATTAGGGCGCAAATTTTTAACAACTAGGTGCACGAAACAATATTAAACCCCGCTGAAGATGGTGCAAAGACATACCAAATGAAGAAAATTGGACTTAAAAACGGAACGCTAAACAGATGTTTGGAATTCTTAAATTTAATTTTGAACCAAAAATAGAATTTAGTAACCCTGAAAACCTTAGTAGATATATTTTTAAAACAATATACACATGGCAAAAATTGCCAGTATGGATTCTATTTTGATTGCTTTTAAATTTATACTGTCTGGGTTACTCAGAGTTAGATTTAGGAGTCAGAATTGAATCCAGTAACCTCAAAAAACGTATATAAAAGGCATATTACAAACACAACGGGAAAAAATACGATTATTAAAAAATCTGCCATTTTGGACTTTAATCTCACGTCCCCTTTAGATTTCGAAATTAATTTTTTGAGATCAGAATACAACCAAATGACATCTTAAACCATGTGAAAGACATGTTACAGATTGTATCCAACAGGGAAAAATAACCAATAATTTAAAATCTGCCATTTTGGATTCCATTTTGGCAGCCATTTTGAATTTCTACCTGTTGGATTTTTAAAATTCATTTTTAAATCCAGAGACATTGAAAACCATATAAAAGACAAAGTAAAAGTCATATCTTACGAGATAGTAAATGGTTATATACGAGAACAATGCCATTTTATTACCAAATTTAGCATCCATTTAATTTTTGAAAAAATGGCCGGTACTATGTGAAAAATAATTTTTTTAAATTTGTCAAATTTGTTATTTTCGGAACATTTCACCTCTATTACCACTTTGTATTGTAAGATTATAATTAAAAAAATCTATTTATTGACTGCCCCACCACTGAAACGCACTAGTTAAAGATATCACTCTCAGAAACCTCCTTGAGACCGCCATATTGAATTATGTTAATTACGTCATTTCTCTTTGGCAGACTTCGGCCGAATTTATGTAGTGTACTGTGGGCCTACTCTTCGTAGGGATCTTTTACGTGCACGCCAATGTGTACACAGGACCTTTCGCTACAGAGTTATTCCCTATTAGCCGAAACCTTGTGAACAGGATAGAGGCTACAGATTTCGACAACTTGTTTCAAATCTAGTGCGACTGAAGCAATGTGGTCACGAGAGTACGAACCCGGTCGATATTCAGCGTTCCGCGACCTCCCGTTCTAGAGTCACACCCTTTTCCGAGACCCTGTGAACGCAATTAAAGTTACAGTTTTTACCATTTTTTTTTTCACATTCGATTAGTATAGCCCTAGCTATCTAATTTGCCTATTCTTCATCTATCTCTATCAAAATGTGGGCGTATCTTGCATGGCAACCGCTTTCTAGGGGTTGGGTGGCCGAATGGTTAACGCGTGCGCGTTTGATCACAAGGTCTGTCAATGAGTCAAACGGCGTATGCATGGATTCGAATCCCCGGTTGTACGTGACAAGGAGTAGGGTTGCCTGTCCAACTTGGTGGGTATTCTCTCCCATTTCTCTCCCTATCTCTATGAAAATGTGGGCGTATCTTGCATGGCAACCGCTTGTTGATTTTTAGGTGTTTTATTTTAGATTCACATGTGCACGTATTTCAAAATATCATTCTATTTTCAGATTCCGTAACAATTCGACGGTAAAATAAATAACACCTACAGTTGGGTTCCAAGCGGAATGGACATGAAAGATGTGAATGGTATGACACCTGATGAGGAAATGATAACCAATTTTACCTGTAAATTTTGCTCTAAAAGTTTTGATGAGAATACAGAGTTGATACGTCATCAAGTAGATCACGTGATCAGTGATTATGGATTTTTATGTGAATGCGGTAAAAGGTTTAAACAAAGTTTTAATTTCACGAGACATCGACGAATCCATTCTGGCGAACGAAAACATGTCTGCGAAGAGTGTGGGAAAGCCTTTAACGAGAAGGGGGATTTAATCCGTCATGGCTTTGTACATACCGGTCACCATTATAAATTTCAGTGTCCGCATTGCCAGAAGAAACTGACAAATCGACCGAATCTTAAATATCATATTAAAGTGGCTCATGACATCATTGACGATTTGGATTGTCCATTTTGTTTTAAGACTTTCCAAGATCCTCAGAGTTTACAAAATCACCAGGAAAAGGACGACTGTGGTGAAAAGTTTAGTTGCAGTAATTGTAGTAAACATTACCGGTCAAAGGTCGATTTGGAACGTCATATCCGGTCCCATACAGGTCAAAAACCCTTCATTTGTTCGGACTGCGGGAAATCGTTCAGTTTGAAATCATCTCTCGTTTGTCATTCGCGATCACATTCCGGCACCAAGCCGTATATTTGTAAGCTGTGTGGGAGGGGCTTTTCTCAAAATGGAAACATGCATCAACATCAACGAAAGCAACACGGTGTAAAAAAGGCGACAAAAACAAAGCGTGGTTTAAAAGTGAAGCCAGAGCCAGAAACGTTCACGGGAAACAACATGGAATCGTCATTACTATCCAAGAATTCACCGTCTTCTCCCCAAAAACGTTTATCAAGCGAAAGCGTTTCAGATCATGACGTAGGGAATATGGGTGAGTCATCAGAAACCGATCTCTTCGACTTCATCCTGAACTCAAACCAATTAAAATCTCCAAAGAATCCCGGGGCGCTCAGTGGGAAGCGAGAGTTCAAACCCGACGGATCTAAAATATCGCTAGTGAAAGAAATCAAATATGTCGACTCTTCGGACGAGAATCAAAACACGGGTGATACTCCACAAGAGACCGTTATTCCAAAAATGCAAAAACTGCCCCCTAAAATACTGAATCAGATTTTAAAAGGCTTGTCCAACCCTGATCCTGGTTACCACGAACTGAGAGACGACGATGCTGATGTAGCAACAGAGTCAGGTGGTAATCTAATGGATATTCAGAGGTTTTTAGATACAGAGGCCGTAGGTCATAAACACGAGATCTTGCAAACAAAATGTTTATCGGCAAATATCCTGGACCTAGACATTTCCCCCAGTAAGAGTATAAACTATTCAACTGACTGTTTCCGGGTATCAGATTTTTTACCTGGACAATATCTTGTGAAAATCGAAACTGAAAATACAGCGGATGTGTTTCGAATGTCAACGACCCCAAGAAAAGATAGAGCAGAATTCACCAACATATCATCTTCAGAGACAGCAGAGAATGACGATAACATGGAACAAGAAGCAAGTGCTGAATCTTTTTGTAGCGGCTTTATAACTTCTCCAGGTTTGCTAAACCAGTTGACTTACATCTTACAAACAGATCCACAAACGGGTGCTGCTAGTTTCCAACAAACGGCGTCTGATGTATTGCATGCTACTTATAGTCCGAACGCTGCTGAGTTGCTTGTTATTGATAGTCCGCAAACAACTGCTACTGGTAGATTGCTTAGTACTGATAGTCCGCAAACAACGGATACTGGTGCCTTGCTTGTAGCTGATATACCGGAAATAACTGATACCGGTGGATTGGTTAGTACTGAAAGTCCGCAAACAACGGCTACTGGTGGCTTGCTTGTAGCTGATATTCCGGAAACAACCACTGCTGGTGGATTTCTTGGTACCGATTATTCCAAGAATGCCATAAATAATGAATTGTTGAGTACTATCACAAGCAGTTGCACAGAAGATAATCGACAAATAACGTGTATTAATAAAACAATCCGAGATAGGATCCTTTCCAGACAGTTGGTTAGCAACCTTTTAGAAGTGCCTAATACCGTTGTAGTTGTGAAGCAGGAATCCGAAGACGAATCTTGTACAGAAGAGACTGGTGGCATGAAAGCAGAGTGGGAACCAAAACAGTCTAACCAAACGGATATTTATCAAACTGAAACCAAAGCGCTATCGAAAAAAAATAAAACATTTTGTTGTGAAGTTTGTCGTCGATGTTTTTCACGGTTGGGGAATTTAAAGGAACATTTGAAGCGCCACGAAGCCGTGCGACCATTCCACTGTGAAATATGTCAGGTCGGCTGTACATCACTAAGAAGGTTGAAAGGTCACATGCGGACACACGATTCTGTTCGAGATTTTAAATGTCTAGAATGCGGAATGGGGTTTTATATACAATCTGACCTGATCCGCCATTCTCGTCGTCATACCGGCGAAAAACCGTTTCAGTGTCTAACGTGCTGTAAATGCTTCTCTCTGAAATCTTCTCTGGTAATACACGAGAGACAACACAGTGGCGAGAAACCCTATTCCTGTTCTAAATGTAATAAAACTTTCTCACAGAACAGCAACATGAAACAACACATGAAACGACATGATAGATAAATAAAACATAAATATAATCCCATTAAAACGTACATCCGTTTTCGTTTCGTTGTTTTGTTGTTCATAGTTCAAAATTTTTGTTTTACTTGTCTTTACTACACTATAGGATCTGGAAGAGTAGTTATATAACCCGCGTTCTGGATGATGTGAGGGATTAGCCAATAAAACGGTCTGTTACGGCAAGTTTTTGGCGTGAGGTGCGCGAAACTGGGAGTAACCCACTAGAAACATGAACGCCGATTGGTTAATCTAATGTCTGGTGTCATATGGCCAAAAGCCGCTCGTATGACCCCTGACGCGACCCTCCACTACAAACCGATCAGATCTTCATGTGTTAGAGGCCATCGAAAGTATAAAAAAAAACGAAACCAAATATAGATCTGTATTTAAATCAGATTGAACATTAATAAAACATGAAACAATTTCTTCTTTTAACCCCCCCCCCCCGGATTTGAAGTTCTAATTATGTATTCAGTGTTGATAAGCAATTATGTTTGAATTATTTTGAAGTTATATTTGTTGCTCAATAAATAAATTTTACGATATTTTGTAGTCTGTTACAAAGTACTCCATTATGATTAAACTGTTTAATTGCGGAGTTACACTTCTGCACGTGCTACCGAACGAGATGTGTAGACACTGTGTAGTCAACAATGTATGCGGTGGTGTGTGTTTGTGGGGTGGGGGACGGGGGCTACTCTAGGCCTGTATACATCTCGTGACCTTTGACCAAACTTGAAGTTGATCGTTACAACCAGTGTACAAGGTTGTAGTTACCATAATGAGTGGGTGAAGGGAAGCGATTGAAATAATCAGTGTACGAGCTTGTAGTCAGCATGGTGAGTGGGGAAGCGATTTATATAACCACAGTGTATGAGGTTGTAGTTACCATGGTGAGCCGGTGAGGGAAAGCGATTTATATAACCACAATGTATGAGGTTGTAGTTACCAGGGTGAGGGGAAGTGATTTATATAACCACAGTGTATGAGGTTGTTACCATGGTGAGCGGGTGAGGGGAAGCGATTTATATAACCACAGTGTATGAGGTTGTAGTTACCATGGTGAGCCGGTGAGGGAAAGCGATTTATATAACCACAATGTATGAGGTTGTAGTTACCAGGGTGAGGGGAAGCGATTTATATAACCACAGTGTATGAGGTTGTTACCATGGTGAGCGGGTGAGGGGAAGCGATTTATATAACCACAGTGTATGAGGTAGTTACCATGGTGAGCGGGTGAGGGGAAGCGATTTATATAACCACAGTGTATGTGGTTGTAGTTATGGTGAGTGGGTGAGGGGAAGCGATTTATATAACCACAGTGTATGAGGGTGTAGTTACCATGGGGCGCGGGTGGGGGGAAGCGATTTATATAATCCCAGTGTGTGGGGTTATGGTCACCATGGTCAGGGGTTGAGCGGAAGCGATTTATATAACCACAGTGTATGCGGTTGTAGTCACCATGGTGAGGGGAGAAGCGATTGATATAACTACAGTATATGAGGTTGTGGTCACCATGGTGAGCGGGTGGGGGGTGGATTAAAGGAGCTAAATCGCTAACATTTGGGACCTAGAAATTCACAAAAGTGGGTCGCAACGCATATAATACTGTAATATGAATGTATATAAACTGATTTACATTTAATGGTTTCCGTTTTTACTCCAATTTCAAATCAGTTATGTTCGGCGAAATAAGTCAGCAATCTCAATCGAGTGCAAATTTCTAGCGTCTAGTTATTCTAGTCTACATAACTCCATTTGATTTGGTGCAATGTGTCTAGCCTCGTCCCTCGAGTCTCTCAATACAACTGGGGCTGAAGCGCATTATGGTACACGATTCGTGTACCAATGTTAAAAAAATTATTTTATCTTAAATATCGGATATCAGAAGCTCATCTTTTCCCGGTACGTTTACATCATCAATGTTGATTTAAATTGACCAATAATTCGTGTTTTCGATGTCGAAGATTTTGGAGGATTTTGAGTTACGGACTTAGGTCCTTTAACCAGTATGCAAAATAAGCACGTTTTTATGGCCTCAACGGAAGCGGGGCCCACGGAGTTTTTTCCAGCTCCATATTTACAATAGACGATGGTGCAAATATTGGAGTTAAATTATGGCCCACAATAAACGAAAATAAAAATGCATATATACATTATCTTACATACCGGTAAGGTATCTTTAAACATGCATTATTGAAGATTTAGTTCTTGCTATAATAGTTCAAAAATAGATAATGCAAATTCATTATATTGAACATTTCATTCAAATTACTTTACTCTGAACGAAGATATTAGTATTTGAAGGTTTGACAAGATCTGGGCACTGATTGAAACCTATCGTGCTGGTTGTTCGAAGCTTGGCCTCGCTTCACCATTTTCAGATTAAATGGCTGAACATAAAATCGGACCTATCCGATGGCATCAACTTGATTATGGGCTTGTCATGTTAATAAATGTCTAATTGATAGTTTATATAATATAATGCCTGTTTAATGAACCTGTATGTCTAAATAATGTTTATTTTTAAAAGACATCGTCTAATTGCTTCAACCGGTGATAGATGTGAGAGATATGGTGTTTAACGTCCACTCGACACAAACCAGGTCATTTATGACTAACATATGGTACAATTTTATTTCAATAATTTAGCAGTGGGAGGAAACCGAAGAAAACCTCTAGATTGGACAGGCGACCCTACTCCTTGTCACGTACAACCGGGGAATCGAAACCACGCCAGTTGACTCAATGACAGACCTCACGATACAACGTACACGCGCTAACCATTCGGCCATCCACCCCTACCCCCCTCTTATTGGTACAAATGTGACAGTGAGAGAGGGAGAGAGAGAGAAAGAGAGAGGGAGAAGTTTAACGTCCACTCGACACATGCCAGGTCATTTCGGGACTAACATATCAATAATTCGCTTGCACGTAGGGGTCTTTAGCAGTGGGAGAAAACCTCGGGGTTGCACAGACGACCCCACTCCTTGTCGCGTACAACCGGGGAATCTTAACCACGCCAGTTGACTCAATGGCAGACCTTATGATACAGCGCACACGCGCTAATCATTCGGCCATCCACCGGTGATAGATGTATGTTGGAGTTTACACGGTTGATTTATTTTATAACCCCAACATACAGCATCTTCAATGGAAGGCTTGATCTCGCTTTAACTACGTACATCTGTTCATGTGTCTGTAGATTACGTAGCTACAAGCTCGGAAATTGTTAAGTGATCTAGCAACGTCCAGATGTCGTAAAACTCGCATGAAATGAATCGAAATGAAATGGGGTTTAACGTCCTACTGTTCTGCTCCTAAACTGGACTAATGAAGACGGGCATACGCCATACAGTGTGCTATGAGGGAAATTTTGCCCGGGCAGCGGCACTACGGGGCCTCGGTTTTTCGTCCCATCCGAAAGACTAGACAGCTGTCCTTGTCAGGCCCTCCATCCTGCATCACTGACAAGGGGAAACCTTGGATGAACTTTTCGGCCAATACAGGGATCTCGAACGTAAAACTAGCAGTCGTTGCTTCAGGAACGAACACGAACAGACAGATGGGCTAGTAATGAGATAATTTTATATCCTGTATTTTCATTGATTGTGGTAAGTATAAAATCCATTTCAAATAACAATAAATACCATATACAGCTCGTTACATGTTTATATGTAAATATAGAGATCAAAGTAATTTATAGGAAACAGATGGTCTTTACAGTTATATTTTATAGGATAAAGATGGTTTATATAGTTTTATACAATTCTCTATATTTTATAATATAAATTAAATATAGTATCAACATTTTTATACCTAGCAATTGACAATCGTAATAAACACAAAAACTCCCAACAAATACACAACTTATGTCTTATATAACAGAAAAGCTTGACAAAGCAAAGGGAGCTAATTTCATTGACGTATCAAATAATTTCTAATATTCTTCCGAATCTATTGGACACTAGATAAGAAACCTCACCGCTCAACCTTCCGTGTTTCGAGATTTGAGATGGTGCTATATAGTTCCACATAGCAAAGCCCAACGCAAATCACATCGGGCCTCAGTAAGCAAAATTGACAATATTTTTCATCAAAACAACGATTGATTATTGTTATTTATAATATTTCTGCCACACCCAACTACTCGAATGGTTAAGCCGCTACTAGGAACGCCATTTTTAAACGGGAGATGTATGACGGTGTATGTCGGATAAAAACAACGCTTCATAATAATATAAAATTATCTTATTTTTAAGATGCTACATGCATTAATAAAGAAATTGAATTTGCCACTTGGAACTAAAGGCACCCAATCGTGGCTAAAAACAAGCACACCAGTATATCGTAGATAGTTGTGCGCCTATTTAATAGAGACGGATGTTATTGCTTTTTTTTTATATGTTTTTTTTTAATATTCAACATGTTGTATGGTATATTATAATGTGATCCTTGTTATTTTATTTCATTTAAAATTGGATTGGGAAACCGGCTAAGCCTATGTTTACCCCTCTCCACGGTATTTACAAACATAAATTTAATTTATGTACATAGAGAACACATATACAACAATAACATAAATAATATTTACATGCAACTAAAACAAAAACTAAACATCTTTGAATATATACAATTTATTGCATGTTGTAGTATAGAAGGATCAAAGGCAGAGGCGGGAATAAGTCGCCCAACCTCACGTCCGAGTCGAGTCCCAAGTCGCTAACTTTAGTACTGAGTCGAGTCAAGTCCCAAGTCGCTAACTTTGGTACCCAGTCGAGTCGAGTCCCAAGTCGCTGACTTTAGTACCGAGTCGAGTTGAGTCGAGTCCCAGATCTTAACAAAGTCGGGAATCGTCACGACTGCTGAGTCCGAGTCGAGTCTCGAGTCGCGATAAAAATTTCAAGTGAAGTCGTAAGTCGGGTCATTGATGCGACTAAAGTCGGACTCGTGGGACTCGAGTTCTAACCTCTGATCACCGGTCACCTGAAATCAGCTGTTATTGTTTTATCAGGTCACCTGAAATCAGCTGTTATTGTTTTATCAGGTCACCTGAAATCAGCTGTTGTTGGTTTATTGATTTACCCTGCTATCAATACATGTCAACAGGAAATGAAGTGGGTTTAACGTCCTGCTGTTCTGGACCTGCTGGGGGTGAGGGGGGCAGTGTCGGATTAACCAAGGTGGGGGCCCTGGGTCCTGGATCATGTGGGGGGCCCCTGATCACCGACTGCGGAGCTGTGGCCGAAGGCGCGAAGCCCCGCAAGGGGGATCGGGGACCCCCCACCCCCCGAAAATTTTCAGAAATTGGAGGCCGGAAACGTGATTTCCTGGCATTTCAGGCACTTTAGAAGCACCTCCCCAGAAAAAAATTAAATTCTGCCACAAAATTAGCGCATTCTGGCGTTATTTCAGTGCGAGTGCTATGAAATGATGGCATTTCTAGAGGAGGGGGCTGG